CGTTTGCATGTACCTATATATCCCGCACTAAGCTGAGTTCCTACCAGCTTAGTGTTCTGACCTTTTGGTCGGGTCGGTAAGGGATATCCGATTCCTCACAGGAATCACGGGAAAATCAATTCGAAAACCCTGCAAAAGAACGCTACATAAGAGAAATCACCGCCCTTCGACTGCTCTTCTCGACCGACGCGAAGCAAGGTCCCGGCCCCGGAGCGTAGCGTAGGGCCGCCGGAAAGGACCTTGTATAGGTACATACTGTTATGGACTGGCCTCGGGGCTGTGAGAAACGCATAACCACCCGTTCCGCCCAAAAGGTCAAGTGACCAAGTTGCACATCTGCAGCTTGATCGAGGTTATATAGTGCATTGCCACTCCCTGCCGCACAGGTCGTGACAGGGGCGACTGCGGACGAGCGTCAATAGTAGTATTGATAAAGATACAGAAGAAAGGAGAAGAAGGAGTCCTCTCCACAAGCCGTCCTGCTATGTACATACAACACGCATCTTGTGCGTGGTCACGTGCCATCGCAGGGCACGCTACATCTCAGCCCCACTCTCCAGAAGAGACGAGCCTCAAGCTCGAATCCATCACAGGTACATGCAAACGACGGACAGAGCAATTACGGGTAACCGTCACACCCTCTGGCTTACCAACTTCGCTCTTGCCCGAGCAGAAGTTCTTACTCTTTCAATCAACATCATCAGCATCACCTTGCCGTCGTATGATACAACACCTATCTAGTACTAATCAAGAAAAACAAGAGAAAATGAGCCGCTGCTGACACTGGTTACAGCAGCGTTGTCCAGTGCCATGACCCACCCGTACGGGCAATAATTGTCTGATCTCCTGCTGGGGGAGCTCAGCGAGTCTTTTGACCGTCAATGGGATGCAGAGCAGATGTGCGACCAAAAAAAGTTGACCGAGACAGGGGTCGAACCTGCGACCTTCTGATTATCTGTGATATCGCACCCTTGCATTGATGCGGCAATCGTAGTCAGACGCTCTGCCATTGAGCCACACGGCCTATTGTTATGTTAAATGTATCTTTAATTAAACTCATAATCAATAAAATGTAGCATTGTTTTCGCTCCAAAACGCCCATGATTCCTCCTGAGTCCTGTCTGTTGGAACCGTAAGGTTACATATGAATGAATAAAGGTTAAACAGGCACTAGTGCATAAGCATAAAGGTATGGTCGTTCCGGTGATTGTCTTCGTTGTTATTATGTATTGTCATTGTCTAAGTGTTGGAACAGATCCGTAAGGTATAACAATGTATGTGTTGGAATCGCAGGACAGAAGTGTGCGCACTGGGCAAGCACACTGTACGCGGTATGGTGTTGTGGCTCCACAATAAGCACAGCACCATATAGCCGGCTTTCCCCGCTCGCGCGCACTCTCCCATTTCCCCTTACTCTTAAGCTATTAATGAATTCATCGTATCGTATGGTAGCCACCCCCTCAGTGTATGCATACATTGTTATACCTTACGGATCTGTTCCAACAACGGACAGAGCAATTATGGGTAACCGTCACACGTCCCCTGTTGGGACAAATCCGCAAGGGTTGCGTATACGCAAAGGTGGCTGACATGAACAATCTAGTATATTCATGGAAGCTATCTTTGCGTATACGCAACCCTTGCGGATTTGTCCCAACACTGATCAGTGTTTCTTGAATCCGTTCTCGAAACACAGATTCGCTAGGGTAACCCCCGAGGAAGAG